TTGACAAGCATTCAGATTCACAAAGAACATGGTGAAAGTGAAATCATACTTGGGGCATTCATGGGTCCCTATGTCAAAGGTCATTCAGCAGCATTTCAGCTGCTGCTTGCTAGGATTTAAAATGGACTAGTTTAAACCCTCATCACCACAGACACCGACATATAGTTTGTGCCAACCAAGAATATTTTATAGCATGTTTAGCAAAATTTAGGCCAGAGATAATATAATTTCTGGACAAACATTTAATCCTCACAAGTGGCACCATCTCATCTAGAAGAGATGAATGCATCCTTTTTAGCCAGATTTTTGTTGTCAACTCACATAATTTATCTGCAGAATACTGAATTATTATTAGAAAGAAGGTCTGAACAAAGCATTTATATGCCTTTCCCCTTTAAAAAAAAGCCCGACAGGTTTTTTTTTTTCTACCTAACTAAAGGTTGATCAGTATATTGAAGCAGAAAAAGAGTCACTTTTAAATCACTTAGCTAAAACAGAGAGCTCAAAAATATTTATTTAATAATTTTTTTATTGATTTTCTCAGTTTATCAACTATTATTCAAGTTTTCCAACCTTTGTTCAGTATCTTTAAAAAAGGTGCATTAGAAATTAACTTGAAACAGTAGCAGGCTGGGCAGCTTTAGGGCTACCAAAAGTGGGGGAGCAGCAACTGAAAACCTGCTGAGAAGTAACAACAGCGCAGGAAAACAAATGTGTTCTTCCAAAGCTTTTGTGAAGCTCACTCTCCGCTATGGGCAGCACAGTGGTAAGCCCAGCTGTCGATTCAGCAAGCTGCAAGACTGTCACTCCAAAACAGGTCACAGTTCAGCAAACAAGTTGTTATTTGTTTTTACTGCAGATGAAGAGGTCTACTCACTAAAAAGCAGCACTTCTGAGACAGTGTTTTCCTAGGAACAACTATATGCCTTTATGCATTACATATAATATAGCATGTTGCCACCAGTGGACATCAGTAGATTTCTTTACTGGAGAAAAACTCCAGGTGGTGGATTCACATAAAGATGACTGTTTGCCATAGCTGGCAAGCAGACATATTTCTGTTACTTTGTTAGCAACCCAGACTCCCCCGAAGTTGAATGGTAAGGCAGCAACATCTCCTACTATTACCCCTAGCTTCTATGCCAAGGCATTCTGAGCATCTGCCAAAAAGCAGCCTCTATTCCTTGAGGTTTCCACAAAAGGCATACAATTTGGTAATGGTAGACATAGCACCCACAACTGACTGCTTCTCAAGGAAGTAGCAAGATGGTCTCTGTTTAGTGGGATGGGCTCCATTAGCTGACAGGAATTAGTTGCATTACATACTCTCACCTCATACACACAGGCATCAATTTAAATAACCTTTGGGCAAAAGACAGCCTTTATCCTTTTGACAAATGAGGAAAAAAAAACCTCTCAAGGAAGCACAAATGCACTTGTTCTTTTAGACTAAAGAAATAAGCGCTCTCAAACCCAATATGACTTTTCCATCTGCACCCTTCTCCCATGAATAACTAAGAATTCAATTTAAATAGAAGCTGGACATAATCTCAAAGACTGAGTATTTTGTTCTGGAGCCCTCATGACTAAATGGAAACCCACATATAACAGGCTTTCCATGAGTGCCCAGCTTGCAGAAATGGAAAAAAAGCACCGAAAATAAGGCTTCTAACAGGTTTAGGACAGGAGAGATGACTAAAAACCCCTTGTTCTTGCTCACATGATACTACAAGGATGACAACACAAACATCACAAGGCAAAGCAAGCCTCACTTCTCTCCAGATCCCTTATGTCCCCCAGAAGGAACAAAGCACATTGCTTTCCTAATGACTGGCAGGTCGTGTTCAGGATAGTATGGAAATCCCTCCTACTCTATCATGCTGCATAAGCAAACAGATTTGTCATGTCAGTGCAGTTGCTTATTAGTTTTAGAATATTCTTAGTTTTGTAGATAGCTGTGATGGCTACCAGATAGTTTAGGAATCCGTGAGGTACAGAGGAGTAAGATTCAACTAAAAACAAACAAAACAAAAAAACAAACACCAAAACAGAGGTATCTAAGATATCGATAGCATCCAAGGCAGTAATATCAACATGCTTTTGCCTGTGTAGTTTTCCAGAACACCCTTACAAATCAAAAGGAAATCTAAGGACAAGCACATGTGAATGAATCGGAAAGATTTTGAACACATGCTTCCTCCAAAACAGTGACTGACACTCCTTATTCTCATACACTACAGGCTGACCTGCTGAGGACTACATTTCAGTCTTTGAAAGTTACCCAAATTAAGGAGTCCCTGACTGTAACAGACAGTGTCTGCTGAAGTACTCTGCAACAGACAGGTTTTGCAGAATTGCATTAATTGCTCCAAGAAATCTAAACCACCTATTATTACAGCAGAGATAATCATAAGCCCTATTTAAGCTCAAAAACATCAATTTGGCTTTTTTTGGTAGCAGTTTTTTCCCCTTCTCTAAAACAGTCTTGCTTGGAAGACGAGGAGATGGGAAAAAAAAGGAGACAAAAATACACTGTAGCTCTTCATATCTTAAAATCTTGAGTTTCTTGGACAGCTAGATGAAATAGCATGACAGAGTTCACTACCTCATCCAGAAGGGAGAGCAACATTGTATTGATGCCTTTAACTTCTCATAAGAATTACTCAATTCTAGGGTGAGGAAAAAACATCAGGTTTTTTAACATTTGCCTCTGAAGCATATCTAAGAGACTCCATTTACAGAAAAGAAATCCCACAAAACTGGAGTCATTAGGATCCACATAGGGCCTACAATGCATAGAAAAGATAGCAACAAACAACATCTCAGTCAGGTAACAAAAACACATACTCTAATTCTTCTACTGTAGAAACACACTTCTGTTCTACCTATGAAAAACAGCAGACAAATGGAACTGAGGTAACTACATGGTTCTGGGCTGAGCTGGGAAGTAACAGCAAATCACTGTAAAACCCACGAGCTTCCACATTAATAACACTGTGTTTGTCAAAGCTTAAAGCAAGGGTTGGCTATCAGGATTCATGAAAGCAAAACTGGGGGAGGATATAAGAAGCTATCTTCCAGGCCTGTATCCTCCAGGCATCTCATTTTGTGTCAAGCACTGCACCTTCATTTGTACAAGGCCTTCTGTAATTTCATAGTTTTTATACTAGATACTTTACAGAGGAGAGATTAAGACCTTGCCTCCTCTTCCTCACTACCATCAGCAAACAAAAGACAATTCATCCACAGGAAGTTTTAAAATACACTGTACTCAGTTAAACCTAGTGATAAATATTCCAAATTGGCTACCTTTTAAGCCTGAAAATACGGATTTCCGGGTTTGAGATTTCTCCCTCACACCACCTCAGGCACTCCATAGCTCTGTGGCTGGTGGCCATAATTATCACATCCTAAACTTCGGATTCCAACTCTGTTGCACTAGTACTTGCCAACAAGAAACAACAAAGCAATCTTAAGTATCAATCCAAAAGCTGTTAAAATTGGAAGATAGTCCTGTTTATTAGTACTAGGACTATATTTTACTAGCATATTTTAAAATGCAGAACCTCAACTACCCTAGTTAACTAAATGTTTATTTTCAAACTAGCAGGGACAAGACCCAGTTAAAGTTCTCAAAAATTCCCGGTTGCAGTAAATTTGTCAAAAAGGGACATTTGGAAATGGTCTACAGCTTAGTCAGACAGACTGACATACCGTATCTCTTGCCACTGATTAAAAGCAATCATGTAACTTCAGGAAGCAAGAACAGTAAGCTTCCCCCACCCTCTCCTCTCCACCATGGTATACCCATCACAAGACCTCTTTTATGAATGTTTGGAATAATTCAGCACAAATCTTCATACCTGCAAACTGTCTTCATACATGGTATTTGAACCAGCTACTCCACTGTTGTAGCCTAAATATCACAGAAAACAGCAAGTAAAACTACCTGCCAAAAGAATAATTTTTTTCTATTGCCTAAATACCTTTAAGATAACAAAAATTGTATTTCCTATGTTTCCTTCTGGTTAAGTGAAGTTGAACTTTCAACTGTTTTACCATTCTCTTATTCTGCAACTTCTCAAATCTGTCCTGAAAACCAACCATGGCACAATACTGTAATCATGTCAAATCAGGTCAGTCCAAGGCAGCAAATGCCTTTTCTCGGTATGAAGTGATTATAAAAATCACGTAAAAGATGAGAAGAGTTCTAGATTTTTTTTTTAATTCATATTCATAAATGCAACTTCCATAAGCTGCTTTCAGCAGGGCCTACTAAGTCACAGATGTTGAAAGATTTGTAAAACATGTAGCTACCTCCATCCCCCATAAGAGAGTTTGCTTTCTTATTTTTACTCATTTGCATTATCGATCAGTGACTACCGACCTTTCCACCTGTGACTGCAGAAACTAGCAGCTTCCTACTGTAAACCACAGAAATCACATGGGACAAGGAAAGAGGAGATAAAAACCCCATAAATCCTCTCAAGAAACTAGCCCAGAACATATTTTAGTTGTCACTGACTACCCACTGTTTGAGATAGTTAACTAAGCTTTTGTTTTATCACTAACTTCCTTCATAAGCAGCTACAGCCTTCAGTGCCATAAAAAGCTTGTATGATCATAGAAACAATTCAGAACTGTAAAATAAAAATACATGTAAAGTGAATTAATACTGCTGTCAAGCAAGCAGCATCTGTGGAGCTCTGTGGTATAATCAGTCTCAAAATCACTCTCAGCTGTTTCCTCTTTCTTTGTAGGGGGTAGACTTTGCTGGGGGAGAAGGGAGAGAAAGAAGTATGCATGAAGTACACATTTTGAGGAAGGGTATTCCCTTAAGGAAAATCAATCCAAGAGATTGAGGAAGAGTTGGTGTGTAAAGTGCAGCTAAAAGGAGATCTTCAAGGGGCACAGTCCATATAACAGACGGAACATACATCCAAGAACAGCCACAATGAGACCTGGCAGCAGCTGACAGAATGAGAAAAATAACACAAAGGTTACTCACACAGTATTCACATTTTATTTATTACAAGTTTTAATTTGTACATTTTGCTGCTAAAGCATAGATTTCCACAGTCGACTTTGTTCAATATGTCACTGTGGATACAACCTGACTCCAACAAATGAGGGACAGACTAAAACAAATATTAGTCAAGAGGTTTCTTTAAGCATTTTAGGACAAGTTTTGCACGTATTAACAATTCCTCCTTATTCTATATACCGAATTGTTTTTATGCTGACTTGCCATTTAGTTTGAAAGCCTGTGTTTATCAGAAGCCATCTTCATTTCCAGAGCAGAAGCAATCCAGGAAGATCCTCCATTTAGCATAAATGAAAGCAGTGCACCTTTTTTCTGGGGGGCAGAGCATCTTTTAGAGCTTGCATGCCATCAAACAAAACATCTTCTTGAAAGCTGTAAATAGAAGTTACAATGGCAAGAGCAGCCACTACTGCTTACAAACACAGTAAACTGTAGACAATTAAGAGGTTGTTTAAACACCAGATTCTTATAGTGGGTTAAGTACAGTTGTCAAAAACCTTGATAGGATTCCTAGTTATTTTTCCTGCTACTGTGCTTCTGCATACAGACTTGTACCTCTGCTTGATCCAACTCACTACAGCTTTATATTTTATATCCCTCTAACATCTGGATTCCCTCTGTCTCAGCCATGTCTCTGGCCCAATTTCCTTCAAATCTGTATTAGCATATCTTTCAAAAGACTTAATCCAAACACACTTCCGCAGGGCAGATTATGTAATCCTGTAACTAATCAAAACACTAGGAATAAAAAATTGAAAAGAAAAAAAAAAATACACCTGCATGGTGAAAATGAAACTGAGCCATCATGCTATTACACCCTTCCTTCCCCCACACTTATACAGCAATCAGGAATAGCAAGTAGTACATCATACATTTAGCTCATCGCTATTTTCCTGCTGGAAGGATCTTCAACACTACTCTATAAAGCACCTAGGAATACTTTTGACAGTTGAAAAAAAATTAAGTTTATTTTACACTCATTAACATGATCATAAACCAAAGGCTACTCTCCATCTCCCCCGTACAGATATCCTCCATGGCAGGCTTGTCATTTTTTGCTTTATAGTGAAGTCACTTTATTATATGCAAGAAGCCTCAGGCATTTTGTACAGCCCATTACTCTTTGCTGCCCACATTCAGATAGCTAATCTGCTATCAGCCAGAAGCCTGACAGACAAAAGGAAAAGGCAGGAAAACAGCACACAGTTGCGCATGTGCATACACACTTCAGCTACAAAGTGTTTTGACAGTAGACCCAAGAACCAACAAGACACACATTTGATTGCAGTCCTACCTAATGCTTCTCTGGTTGAAGGAAGAAGTATGAGTTCTTTAAAGGTAGATAGGCTAGGGAGACATTAAAAAAAAAAAAAGTTTAATTAGGATGCCTATTAAGATACATTAAAGCACAAACTGGGAAGGCTTTACTCAGCAAGTGAGCATCTTAGAACTTGAAAAATCACAAACATCTTTCTATTCTGAGGATTTGTTATACAATGCCTTCAAAATGCTTAAAAAATATTGTCAAAAGTTAGAAAGATGAAATAAGGGCTAAATATAAGCAATTGGAAACTATTAGAACAAGACACTTGGCAAGTTTTCAATTTCAGCACTTATTTTCTTACTTGCTCAGAAAAGAACTCAGATATTTATAAAGAAGTTTTATATTCTTTCCTATATCCCAAACTATTGTGACAACATACATAAACAAAAACAAATGCAGTGAAATGATTTGCATGTCATACTGCTTAACAAGGAGCTTTTTAATTATTTTCTTTTTAAAAAGAGCTTGAGCTAATTCAATGGAGAAGGCTTGCAACTTCATACCAAAATAAAGAAAATGCCTGTATTTGCTGGAGTTCTTAACTACCTTACTTATTTTGTTTCTGCAGGAAAGCATCTCAGCAGTCACAGGCAGTACCAGCAAAAATATTTTTTAAGCATTACATCTACAGGCAACAGTTTGCATCAAACACCTTGTAAGAATTTTCTGTCAGGATCACAAACCTCTGTTGTGTACTGTGATTTTTATTCAACTATGTCTATTTGTACCCCTTGCAGCTGGAAAGCTAAAATTGTCCCTCTTGTGTGAACCAGCTTAGCTCACAGAAACAGAAAGTCTGCTGCTAGTTTTAGTCATTCACATGCTGAGGTACAAACCTGGCTCATCCTTTTAAGAAGTCCCTCTCCATCATGTAACTACCACATCAGCTCTGCAGGCTGATCCCTGAAGGCATGATTAACCACGTGGAGAAATACAGAGAACTATGGCATGTTACACTGCATTATGTGTCACTGGAAATATTTCCCTTTTCCTACAACTACCAATTCAATTTTGCTTCTCATTTCTTTTTAAGTTATTATTCCAATTTTGTGCAGAAAGAGTCCCCCACCATTTTGACTGCAATATAGAACTGGTTCTATCTTACTTCTACTATTTCGTTGTAAGACATATTTGGGGTTTCAGGAATACAGTATGTCAGTCAATTCAAAATCTGGAAAAAGTACAAGGTAAGCCTTACCTTAAGAGCAGAAGTTGTCACAATAGTCTTTTCCATAGAGTTAGTGTCTGTCGTTTTAGTATCATTACAACACTGTTATGAATGACCAAAGTTTACCTTGTGTTACCACATGGAGCATACAAACCAGCCTAAGAGATTAAAATTTTGATAACTATACCTAGGTATGTCTACAAAACAAATTCCTGTTGCAAATACAAAGTCAGTCTTAGCACTTGGTAGCTAGAATGTAACAAAATGTTATTATAACAAGTTGTCCAACAATCTGCTCCTATCTGAAGTTTAAAGTTGGCATGAACAGTGTTTTCTTGTTGCCTTCGTGTCACTGAAGTTCTGAAATGACCCATGAGCCTTGTCCGGAAGGACGAGTACTTCTCTCCTTGTGTGGCCCATCTGCAGCACCATCCCTGGCAGTACTCTGCAACCTTATCTTTCTCTTCCACATGTACAAGGTAAGAGGGCAAAAAAATACTACATTTGCATATGTAATTATGGTGTAGCTCAGCAGTGAGCAAAAAATTACTGGAAGTTGAGAACAGATATGCCTGATGACCACACCTTAGTTTTTCAAATGAAAATGCTTTGCAAGGAAGGGGAAGGGACAGCAGCAGGGAAGGAAGCCAGTCATTACAGCTCCAAATCTGCTTCAAAGACCATATTCACCACCTCATGCTCTTTGTGGGGCCAACTGTACCTAGGCTCTTCCTGTGAACAATAACATAAGAATGAATCCAGTAGTATGCAACTAGTTCCACTTTGCTTCAATTTACCAAATAGCTGTACCAGGAATACTGGGGGGGGGGGGGGGGGGGGGGGGGGGGAGGGGGGTTGGGGGGAGGGGAAAGGAAACAAAACAGGACAGAAGACTAAAACTGGTTACAGATTCTGAACAGTACCTCCTTTTCCAGTCTAGAACTTCACATGACTTACTGCAGATAGCATACAAGAGCTTAAGAGAAAGAATAAAATGGACTAGAAAGTGGAAAGAAGGAAAATCTGATGCATACCTGAGAGGACACCAGGCAGAAATTCCTCAAGGCATAGAGAAAAACTGTTTAAAACAAATGTACTTAGGTAAAAGGAACAACTCACCTCCCTTATATTTTTGGGCACTAAGAAAAATTATGTTAGATTGGGGAAGGAGGAAGGTGTTAGGAAAATAAACAAAAAACCCAACCTGCTTCTTTAGGTTAAATCTACAGTTTAGCAAAAAGCAACCCAATCCCTGTAATTAAGGTACTATTTTTCTGTTCTTTAGTTTGCACTTTTTCAGATGGAATAGATTTCCCCAGGCCTTTTTCAATCATGTCACATTTGTGATGTTTCGTAATTTTATTTTGCTTTCTCCCATATACACTCTGTGGACAGATGTCTCTACAAAATGGAACAGAAAACTGCCCTCAGTGTCTGTCACTTGTCTGTCAGACAGAATTTGAAAAGGGATGTTTGCTGAAATAATGAAAACATTGCATATCACAATAACTGAAAGTGCTCCCTAGCGTCACTGGTCCAAGTAGCATTTGATCCTAATGAGGACAGGCACATTAGTTCATAGGTAAAAATATTCTCTCCACCACATCAGAGACTTTTAACTCCTTTATTTCAAGTGTCATCCATGAAAGTCGCTCTCAGGATCACAGTGAAATGGCAGGTTTATAATCCATTTATCCCCAGTGCTCTTGCCAGCTCCTCTAATGTTCCTGGATCTTATGCTTGACTTGTGAGAAGCTAACAAACAGAAGAGCTTGCAGACAGAGGATATCTGTATCAAATGTAAAAACATACTTAAAAGAAGTACATAATACTATGTAGTTAGTTAAGAAAGAGTTGTTTTTCCTGCTGATACACTCCAACATCATATGGGGTTCTTAGCGTTTAAAGAAGTAATTTTACATGTCCTTTCACTCAAGAAGGACTGCTACTTGTACTTACAGATCCTAATTGGATAGGATTAAATGTCATGTCAGCACAGGATATAATTTCTCTTTTTTACTCTCTCCTCAGTCATAATTCAGCCCCCTAACACATCCAGAAGAATATATTCATCATTAGACATGTTCATTTGCTTTGCATAGTTCTCCAAAAATAGGATGGAACACATCGAAGGCAGAGCAGTGAGGGAGATGCTACCAAACAGAAACCAAACATTTGTAAGGGAAGCAACAAAAGATACCACTTTTCAGGTTTTAACCTTTGGGCAACAGCAGTTGTTAACCAAACTGCTTTGCAACAACAGGGGTAAAGTCCTCACATCAAGGAGACTGTGACAGCTGGGAATGACAGCTGAAAAGGAGAGAACTGAAACAGGCTGCGTTCAAACAGTACTGACTTCTCAAAGATGAGAAAGCATATTTTTAGTTAACTTCTGTTGCTCTGAAAAAGCATGTTAAAATAAAAGATGCAGTTACATTACAGTAATGGCATCAGACACAAGCACGGAGCGAGGCAAAGCAAAAGCCTCCTTTATTCCCTCCTTGGGGTTCCTTTGGGGACAAATGTACAAGTCTAAAGAACCCTGGTTAGTGTGTTCAGCACTACTCAACTGAAGCATTTGAATCCCTGCCTGGCTGCTCCACACGTAAAGACACAAACTTAACAAGTTTCTTCTTTCTGCTCTACCACCACCTATCATCCTAACATGTGAATGTAAGCTGTCAGGTACTCACACAAAGAATCAGATGTATAGGCCCAGATACAGGAAGAGAAGACTCAGAACATATATTTTTACTGCCTGAAAGGTGCTTACATACTGTGATGATGGGGGTAGTATTTTTCTCAGGAGTACTGAAATAGATTTATAAAGCTATGCTGCATTTAACTGTAGTCAGTATTTTATCCATCAAGTCTCGCTCTTCTTGACTGGGCTTGCCATTTTCCTTGCCTGTCACACAGGAATACTACTTATCTATGTAAGAAACAGGCAAAGAGATTATTAAACAAACAAACTGCAGCTCAACACAAAAGGAAAACTGAAAATAACCCTAGTCTTTCTTTGAAAGAAGAAGGCAAGAAAAGATTAAAAAGCAGCAACAGTGAACAGTTTTTAAAAATATCAAACTTCTGTTACTCTTTCCAGTAACTTAAAAATAAGATGCTAGGAATTAGACAACCAGAAAAGCAAACCAAGACTGAGAAATACCCATGCATTTGACAATTAGCTCAAGAAATTGACTCCATCAGAATATCACAGGCAATGGCTTAGCGAGAGGTTTAAAGAACTTGCTAACATAACATGGAAGCAGAAAGCTTTTGTGTGTGTAGTTTTTTTGCAAAGCCTCTATAGAATCCCCCAATGATTCCAGTGTTTCAAGGCATCACCTAGTCAACTGAGGTCAAAGCTATTTCCCACTGTGGTCTTCTCATACAGCCAACCTGCGAGCAGATTCATCACCCCCTGGAAGGCCACCAACATGCATCAGAAATAAGGTACCAGACCTTCAGTAAGAAGCAGACTTCTCCCTTCCCTGTTCCATCCTCCCCACACATTCTTTGCCTCACCCATGCAGCCCTGCCCATTCATACATACATCCCTCTTCTCTCCATGATGCGCCTTGGGTTTTGTTGATTTTTCTTATTTTTTCTTTAATTATTAAAGATTTCAAACAGCATCTCCCCTCAAGAGGAAAGAGTCCCTATCATAGCTGATATATCACACTGTCTCATGACTAGAGCTAACCACATATCTTCACTAAAGAAAAGACCAGACTGCTCTCCACACCCACCTCACCTGGCGCTGCCTGGGCCCCCCCTCCCCGGGGCAGGAGCAGCACCCACCTGCCCCCACAGACACCTCCCACACGGCTCCGTCTTAGCAGCAGCAGCCCCCTCCAACAAATGGGAGCAGTGGTAAAACCTAGGCTTGGCATGTGTTTGTCCCAGCAAAGTAAACTTTTCAGGCCTGACATTTATTTACTAATTTCTGAGGAATTTTTGTTTTAAGGAAGACTTACGCTTTTTTTTTATTTACCTAGCAATCACTTTCAAATATTAGAAATACCAGACACATGCTGAGACTCTTTAGTCATTACTGTCCCAAGAAAACCAGTATGTGATTAAACCGTATCTGCCCAGATGTTAACCTCTAAGAAAAGAGTTTTCTAAACACTCCACACATGGGGGGGTAGGGATGTTGACATTAACAGTATAGGGCTTAAGCCAATTCCTGTTGTGTTTTACTTTTTTCTACCTACACATCACTGAATTTAAGATTTGGGAATACAAAAAACCACCAGAAGATATAATTTTACTTCTTCAGCACATCATTACATCAACACTGACTACACAGACAGGAAGCATCACCAGTGAATATGCTATCTTAATACCATCCAAAAATTGCTAGAGAAAATTGAGTTTTGCATATTGCCACTCGTTTGCTGAATGTACAAGTATTTCAAGACAATAAATATGAAAGAGCTTAAATACTAAAATGGAAAGGAATAGTAACTGCTAAATAATAAATTTGTTCTTTCTCTTTAAGGCTCTAGATCAAGCCAAATGCAAAGGTAGTCCCAAGGATTAAAAATGGACTGAGACTCAGTCTTGCTGTGGACTTCCTGTGTGACCTTGGGTAAGTCACTTGAGAATTTAGTTCTCAAAAATAACAGGCCTATTATAGCTGCCAGAATGAAGCACCAAAGTTTAAGACCACGGACGCAAGCCCAGTCCTGCCTACTTGCCCATAATGTATAAGATCCTACCCAGTGAGCCCTTTTGAAAAATGGAGATAAATATGACCAGAACTTCAGGAATATTAAGCACCTGAAAGTTCATCTGAAACTGTACTTTGAAAATTGTTATGAAATCCTACATAAAACCAGGATTATTTTCATTTCTCAAGCTCTTGTTTTCTGTATTTCTGTGAAACCTATCAAGAGTATAATCTTTATGATCTCCAGAGATGCAGTATGTACTGTTAAATACTGGATTTATAGTCAACGAAGCACACCGTATTCTAATCAGCTTGCAATACCAATTAGTTAGAGTTTTTGAAATGACTACAAACAGCTAATGAGTTGAAAGCAATAAGCTTATATTTTTAGTAAATAATAATGACTGAATTTATAAGTAGGGATTCTTAAGCATCATTTGGCTTGATACTGTAGTTCCAGCAGTTTCCCTGCAATAGAGAGCAGCTGCTCAAAAATCAGTTAAAAAACAAACAAGCAAAGCACCTACAACCGAAGCGTCACAGAAGTTCATTTTTTTTCTCTAACATAGTAATACTGTCCCACGCATGTTAAAAATGTCTGCTATCCTTTGCTGGTATTTTAAACACTATTAAAACAGATGTTTCCATGTGAAGAAAGGCATTGCACTGATATTTTTACTTTAGATTGCTCTAGCCTCTCTCCCCCTCCCAGCGTAAAACTTCTATAAGAAGAAATGACAGATTTATACCATCACCTGGGTCTCAGTGGGGAAGGAGGCATAGGATGGCTGGAGAACCCCTTCCCCCTGAACAGCCGGCGGAGGAGCTCGCTTACCTAGAGCAAGGGCCTAACTGAAGTCAGTAATGTCGATATTAACAGGACCTGTAATAAAGCCCAAAATCCACAAAAAGACTCAATGTGGAAGAATATCTGGTATAACAGAAAATGTTCAACAGAAAATTTGGGCTGAGTTCACAGAAGTCAAATCCTCAGCCTTTTAACTAAAAAATGTAATCCAAGTGACTTCTGTGATAGGAAAGCCCATGGCAGGGGGAGAGTTTCATCTACTTGCTACTTTTCATCAACTGTTTCAGCAACATGTTTACCAGAGTTCTATAAGCAAGGAAAACTGTTTTCAGGCAACTGGTCACCTTAAAAAACCCTGTCCCAGGTAGCTAATTACCTTAAAACACCCCGCTTCACAACTGTTAAAGTAACAAGCATTGATTACTGAGAGAATTAAGAGATAATGACATTTTTAAGTGCAGACCCATTATATTTCAGTAGTTAACATTAAAACAGAAATATTACTTGTTTATACGAGAAGATTTCCCAGGACTCAAACAGTTAATTCAGTTGTCCATGTAGACCTGTTCACTGTGCCTGGAATTTTAACTCCAGCTACATTCCTCAATTCCCAAATTGCAAATTTATATTAATGCTGGAGTGAAAACATGATATCTAGTGAAAAAGAAAGGAAGGGGGGCAAGAGAAGAAAGGCATGACAAGGAATGTCATATCCCAAGCGCCACTAACACCTGACATCCTGCCAGTAGTTAACACCTTGGAGCTAACAGAAATACGCCATGCTTTTGTCTTATTCAGAAGCATTTATGATCTTCTTACAGTCCTTAGCTTTGTAACAAAACTTTATATGAAATTATTATCTAATAAAAATAAGAAAGGAAATCCAATTGTAAAGCAACTGAAACAGCACTCTAACAAGTCAATCTACATAACCTTTTAGTAATGAACTCACTGTTACCAGGGGGTAATAAAAAAGCGCCTGCCTCATACCTTCTCTTCACACATACCTGACAGCATGCAGAATTTACTGTTTCATACATTTTTTTTTTTTACTATTAAATATACATCTGAAAACCTGAAGGCATACTTACATTATTTTCAGAACGTCAGTATAAAAGGTTGATATATTTTTAACCCTCTAGTAAAGGAAGTTTTAAACACTTTGCTTGTTTTACTTGTCTCACAGCATTGCTGAAGAACAAGATGTGTTACTTTTAGATTTGCTGTTTAGGAAGAATTAAGATAATCCTATAATATATATGAGAGATGCTAAAAAAGCAACTACTCCTGATCTTGCAAGCCAACTCAGAATAAGAAAGCCTTTGCTGATACTGAACCTATTTAAAGTCCACACAGGATTCGCATAGTGTGGCAATGCAGATGACTGGCAAAAAAAAACCCACATCCCTCATCTCTCCTCCTCATTTCTCTACCAAAAGAGGGGGAGAAGGGGAAAATGTAGATAGGAAGAAAGACTCCCAACCAGGGCTATGTTTCTGCTTTAATCAGAATGGTGCGATCACCCTAACACTTTGCTAACTCCTTTGCTGTAGTGGACGTCTTCACGTACTGGCCATAAGTAAGGACGATGACACACGATAGTTTCCTTCAAGTATGAAGTGGCAGATTTTCTTGTACGTGGAGGCTTTAATGGCAGTGCCAATCGGCTCTTTTGCTGATCTCTTGTAGGGGCCAATAAGCAAGGTAGAAAAGGAACCAGCTCTAGAGTTAAGAAGATAAGACTGTCTTTCCAGCTACAGTTAATGCATCAGGGATGGCAGCTGTAAGTTCTGGCTCCCAAACATAGAGAAAGAGAGAGGAGACAAAAAAAGGAAACAAAAGTTTACAGTACAAGAATAGTTGTACTGAGTTTATCAACAGATAAACAGAAGGAAAGTTTACAGTATTAAGACTCAATCCCATAGCCCAGTATTATTAACTGGTATACTAGATGTCAACTGAAATTTCTCTCTAATTGTATCACATTCTGTGGGAAAGTGGGGGGAAAAAACAACTGGAATGGCATAAAATTGATGTAGTGTATACTATGAACAAGCCAGTTGCTGAAGCATCTCCTGTATGTTGATCTTTCCTTAACAGAAGATACTCACCTATAAGAGTGAAGTGCATTTAGAGAAAAAAAAAAAAGTCTCATAAATATCTATTTTAAAGGTTAAAGGGTTAACGTTTTTCTAGCCATTTTCTTTAGTAAATATTTGCAAGTCAAACATAAACCCACTGCTGAGAAATCTCTATTATCCAGAACCTATTATCTAACTGGTCCTGATGCTTCAATGCACAATGACTTAAGTTCGTTTTAATTCCTCCAAAAAAGGAACCAAAACCAGCCTAAAACAAGACATACTACATCCTACATTGCAGAACTAGTTGATAAAGACTCAGAGGCTTTATTATAATAAAATGGGTGCAGCAATGAGGTCCAAAAGTGATGAAGATGAAAGATACCTGGAATGATACCACGTCTCATACACCTTTTGTTTTCTGCGAGTGATCCATGCTGCAGACAAAACGTTTTGTGCTAAACAGCCTCAAATCTGGTTTTCTAATATTAAGCACAAAGGAAAAACACTGACAGCAAGCGTGGTAAATAAATCCCTCCCTTGAGAACGAAAGCAGCAGACAGGAGGGGGCTGACATGCATGCAGGAGAAAACTAAACACCATCTTTTTTTCTACCTGCACAAGTTGCCATTTGCTGCAGCGATCAAGAATCTCTTTTCCCCGTTGATTTCAAAAGCTAGGTTTTCAGAAAATTTCTCTCTCAAGTCATCTGTTGATATGCTTTAAGAGTATGATACTTGTATCACTGGATCTTTAAGAGAAAAATCCATTTTCTTTCCTGTTCAGGTAAACATGTTTACAGCTCCTGCACAGACGCTGGGTGGTTCAGACTCACATGTCACACACATGTCGTCAGCAACAAGAAAAGCCCCTTTCTCTGATCATCAACATTTTTAATCAGGTAAAGAGAAAAGCACTTTCCAAACTTACCTTTAGCACAGCCAAATCATGAGCTAAATATAAATATTTACACTAGGACAAGGAATTAATAACACGAGCATGCAAACAAAAATACTTGCTAGAAAACGCACGCAGCAAAAATAAGAAAACCTTCCTAAGTTCGAAGCAATCAAATCAACTCCTTAGCCCCTGGAAAGGCCGTTATTTATCACCATGTTACGCCCCAAACTGTCAGGATTAGAGAGGAGAGGCACCCATCGTGACTCTGATCTATTTCGGAGACCGTTCACTGCGTATGAAAACATCTCGGATCGCAGGCGAAAGCCTTCCTATCTGTGACCCTGCACAGGAAATGCCACATAAAACCTAAAATTGCCAAGGAAGGTTACAAAATCTCCTGCTTTACATCCTATTGCGAAGAGTCGCTACGAGAACCAAACTACTTCTCCATTTTCCAGAAAATAAGTATAGAGTGGGTGTTACGAGCGTTTATTCCCCCCGCCGTGTACCTTCCAAATGCATCTTAAAGTAACACACGTACCGAAGGCAGAAGAAGAACAAAAAAAAAAAAAAAAAAAAAAAAAAAAAAAAACAACAAACCAAGCCCACAACAGCCCTTAAGTCTGAAATGTAAATGTAATTCCTTATATAGACTGCAGCAGTTGGTCACACACGCACAGAGAGCGGAGCGGGGGCCCCCGGCCAAACCGTTACCACCCATTATTATACAAACAGGTACCTCCGAAGCCAGAGGGAAGGGAAGAAACTTCGCCGCCCGCCCCCGCCGCCCGGGAGCAGCCCTCCCTCCCTCCCTTCCCCACCGCCCCGGCGGGACCCGGGCCGGGGGCGCCGCCGGGGACCAACTCTCGGCGGGGAGGCGGCGAGAGCGGCGAGCGGCCCCCCCTCCCGCCGGCCCGGGGCGGCCGCGCCGCGCTGCCCCCGCGCCGATCGCTGCCTCCCCGCCACCGGCAGCCGCGCTCCCCGGGTGTGCCCCCCCCCCACCCCCCTTCCCTCGGTGACGGCTGGCGTTCGTCCTCCCCGCCGCCCCCCGAAAAGCGAACGCCCGCCCGCCCCGCCGCTACCGGGCGAAAGAGGGGAAAACTCCGGCGAGCGGCGGAGAGGCGCTCCCGGGCGGGCGGCGGGGCGATCCCGCCCGCGGGGCCGGGGCGGGGGCCGGGGGGGGGCAGGACGGAAAGGCGGGCGGGGAGGCCCCGCTCCGCCGGGGCGCGCAGGTAACAAGTTTCGGAGTTGGGGTTGCCGAGGCCGGGCGGGCGGCGGAGGCTGCCCCGCCGCTCCCCACGGGGCTCGGCGTCCCCGCCCGGGACGGAGGGCGGCGGCGCGGCCGGGGGGCCCCCCGAGTCCGCTCCCCGCAGCGGCGGCGGGGCGGTCGCGGGGCGTGTGGGGGAAGGCAGCGTGTAACGGTCCCGGACAGGCGGCGGAGTGCGGAGGCACCGCTAGGCGGAGGAGGGAGGCAGGCGGCGAGGCGAGGGAGGCACCAGGTAGCGGATATAACGGTGCGGAGGGAGCCGGGCTCCCGGCGAGGAGCGGCGGGGGAATTACTTTCGCGCCCGCCCGACCTCCCCCCTCCGCGCCCGGGACGGCTCTGCCCGGCCCCCGCCCCGGCCCCGCCGCCGCCCCAGCGCAGCCGGGCCGCTGCCCCGCGGGCTGACTGACCGTTATTGCGCCTCGGGTTCGCCTGCTTCCTGCGCTTACACCTGGGGCCATCCGCCATGATCCTCTCGCTTGTGTCTAAATGCTCCAGTCACCTCCTCCCCCGCCCTCCCCCCTCCCTCCCCTCCCCTCCCCCCCGGACCTGGTTTACGACACTGGGTGGTTTTACTTTTACATCACCTTCCTACACCTAGTGCTCGGCCGGAACCTTGTTGCCAGGGGAGACGGGCGCTTTACGGCAGGACGTTTGAACGGCGGCGGGGGAAAAGTTGCGGCCGCAGGTACCGGGAGCGGCGGCCGCGGGCGGGGAGGGGCTCGCGGGGCGGCTGCGGCGCCGCCCGGGGACCCCCGGCCCGCCGCGGGGTGCGTCCCCCCAGCCCTCCGCCGGCCGCGGCAGGGGGGCGATCCCCGCGGGGCGGGGCGGGCCGAGGGGGCGGGCGCCCCGGGGAGGAGTGAGGGGGGGCGGGCGGTGGGCGCCGGCCCCCGGGGTGGCGGTGGCGGCGGCGGCGGCGGAGGGGGATCCCCCGCTGTCGAGCGCGGCCCAGGGGGGAGTTGCGCCCGTCCCGCACCGCCGCGTTGAAGGGCCAGCCCACCGCTCGCCTCCCGCCCCGCTGCCAGGTGCCTCCCGCCCCGCTGCCCCGCGGCCTGCGCGGCGCCAGCCACGGACAGCCGCCCCCAGGTACGGCGGAGGCGGCGGGTCCGGCCCGAGGTCCCCGCGCCGGGCACCTGCCTCCGGCCCTCGGGCAGCGGCGGGGCGGCCACGGCCGGCGGTCCCTCTGCTGCCCCGCCGCTGCAGGCCGCCCCCCCCGCGGGCTCCCGTACCGTCACCCGGCGCGGGCCGGGTCCCGTCGTGACATCGATCTTGCGTTACAGGTCTGAGCAAGGAGCGAACAGCGGGACGGGAGCGATTCTGTTGCCGCCGTGTGTGAAGTCTGTCATTCTTGGGCTTTGCTTAATCGCACTTCCTGCATTTGTGAAGAGGAGAAGAGGTATAAAATTCTATGCCCTGAAAAATAAAAAGGGAAGGGGGCCATTTTTCAGGGATAATTAATAAGCAGCCTCATTTGGGCTTAACGTTTATTAAATGTATTAAAAATTAAAACATTACTATCAAACACTCATACTATTTATTTATTCTTGCTTTTTGCTTCAGGCAATAAATTGATTTAGTAAGTTTCCATTCGTTTCTAGGCTTTCTTATTTACTTTTTTTATTATTTTTTTTCTTATCCTGGGATGATTCAGTCGAATTTATAGTTCTGTGCTTCTGGGGAATTCTTTTATGCAAACGAATTAAATTTCAGTGAAAACGTTTCTGTTAATGAGATTCTTTTAATAAGTAATTGATACACTGCTGCATTTGAGGCCTTTGGCTAGTCTACATTGTCTCCACATGCTAAACATTCACGTGCTGTGACATTTCACATCATCTCATGGAAACAGCATAACATATCTTTAGAAAATTAACTATTAAACACTGGAAGTTTGTGGCAGTACTTTGCATCCGAAGCTTCCCCAGAACTCGGTAGAATCAGAAATGCTTAGAAAAGAGGTATAGGTCTAAAGTGGATGCAGAGTTAGGTAAAGATCTAGAGGGATTTTTTCAAAATTGATTGTACTCTCAGAAATGGACATGAGTCGTGGATTTGGGTACTCACGTGAAAACAGTTGTTGCCCTTCTTTACAGGTACAAATAATGCGTCTAATATCTCCCCCAAATTGGTAAATTTAGGTGTAGTGTTTTTACTTGTGGATCTTCACCCAGTGTGAATTGGCTGCTGACTTCAATAATTTAATGAAGATCTACTTAAGAGTTGTTAAAAAAGGGTAACAAATCAAACAGTACAGCGGGTTTGATGGACTAACAGAAGTAATTTTAAAAGCATTAGATTTGACATTAGCTGGGAGTACTGAACCCCAAATACAAAGGTAGCTAAGAAACACAACATGAAACCCATTACAGGATAAAAATGAAGCCTGTCAGCAAAATTTTGACTGAGGGAATTGCAAAGTTTAAGGCAGAATCTTGGTTTTGTCCTGCTTTAATAAATAGTTCAACATCCTTGCTTGTCAAGTTTTTATACAGAAGATACCTGTGGTTGTGAAACTGCTTACAAACAAGAGCTTAAGGTGTTTTGGAATTCTTGGGTATTTTTATTATTCTGTGGATTAATTTAACCATAATACTAAGCACAGGTTTTCATGCTAAGTTTTTAGTTCCTTAAAATTTGTCATGTTTCAGAAGGTAGTTGCAAAACCAAAAATAATAACATATCTGTAAATATATGTGTAGATTTGTAACAATATTCCCCTGCATGCCCACACAAAATTCCAGGCCCCTCTTTCAAGTGACTTTCAAGTAGCTTGTTTTCGTTGTGTTTTGTCACTTTTCACCTCTGGATAAGGATTCTTGTCTCCTCATTTTGCGCAATGATGTTTCTTAATAGAATGAGGAGAGAAACAGTCTCCTGGTGTTTGCTACTGCTCTTCTTCAATCAGCCATAGTGTCTATTGGAACATTAGTCCTTTGAGATTTACAGGTAGTTAGGAGAAACTGGTGACAACTCGTGCTGCCCATTAGTTTCTGAAGAGAACAACTGAAAGTGGCAGGACCATTGCTAGCTCTACACTGTTACAGTTTTGATAAATGAGAACGCCAAAGCAATCTTTATATGTATTGTCTTTGATACCAAGGAGGTCTAGAAACTAAAAAAGCAGAGGACAGTGTTTTATATCAAGTTATTGATTACCACAATCACTATTCATTGCAGAAAGCGTCTCATTCACAATTTATAAATAGGTATGTGGATAGACTGGTTTTTTGTTTTTTGGTTTTTGTTTTTCAAACTTTGATATATTTAATCCAAGCAACTGGGCACTTCATATCTTTGTATACAAAGTTCCCGTTATTTACTATGCTAAAAAGCATCACAATTAAGGATGCAGACACCATCAAAGTGTTTTCAGCTGATATATTCTCCTGATCCTGGATGCAAACCCAGTAGTTAAAATTCCTGCTATCTTTGTAGTATAAGCACATTGTATATGTAATTTAAACCGGTTTGTGCTGCAAGAATGAAAAATCCTGGTTTTCTTTATGGTGCACAGCTTTCAATCTGACTTTTCATTCAAGGATGCAGGAATTAATGTATGTATTTACAAAATCTCAGCAAAGCAGTGTATTTTCTGCATCCTTTTAAATGTGGCAGTCTTGAGAATATGTTTCTTTAGAGGAGGAATTCTAAGACAGTGGTCATTGATAACAATTAGTTTGTATCTAATCACATAATCTGTGTGGGAATTTAAGCAACCTAAATAGGCATAATGTAGTTGAAATGTCAGATTGCATAGCTGCTGTACTTCACCTTTTTTGAAATTTATTTTCATTGTCTGAAGACAGGAATTAAAATACCTCAGTTACACTGGAGTATGGATGCTCAAAAATGAGCTAATGATTAGTACAGACAGTTTTTGCAGTTTTAAAAAGTGTCATGTATGTTGTGTTATGGTTTATGATCTCTTGAGTATGTATTATTAAATAAAAGCAATCAGTCCTCTGTTTGTATGTCTACTCCTTATTTATGTTTATGAAATGAAGTTTCACATCCTGTATTGAGTATTCTAGATTTAATGGTGTTCATTTAGTTGAATGAATTTAGAATTACAGTGGAAAATGACTCAGTGACTTGTTTCTTGTTTCATTTCTGGAGATTCTTTTTTTTTTTCTGCTTCCATTAGTGAAACTTTATTTTCACTTCCATGTATTTTCTTGGAATGTCAGTTCCTAAAATTTACTTTTCAATTGATGTCTTTTTTCTTTTGGAAATACACTTTTGCTCCTCTGTAGAAATTGTAGTTGAAAGATTTACTAGGAGAAGAGTGACCCAGAAATGTGCAGCTTGCCTGCAGCTAGCTGAGGAACTAATGTTGAATAAAATGTGGATTTTAGAGATATCAACATACGGTTTTACTGCCCTTCCAGATGGTCTTTCAATTTCTGTTTTTGCTTCCAAGTGAATCTAATAAGTTTTGAAAGTGTACCCTGGGATGTTGTACAGTCTCAAAAAATGGTAAAACCACTTGAAATTTGCACATTCACTTAGAGCGGAGTTTGTAAATATTTATCAAGAGAAATCACAGTTTTTTCACTTTCCTCAGCTTACAGGGTTTTTTCTGTTCCTGTACTTTACCATGAATTTATTTGTTTAGTTAAAGCCTGAAGCTACAATTCCTAATAAATTGCTGTGTCTTGCATGACTTGAGAAGGCTGTACCTGCTTGAAAGATTTAAGTCTAAGGATGTAAACTGCCATAAAGCATCAATGTGTACATAGCTATATATACTATAATGACTTGCATATATGCAATTGACTTTTCAAAAATCTTTCTTGTTAAGATCACAAAGGCCTTCAAAACCATTTTGTTTCTCTTGTTCTCTTTTTGCCTTACTTGTTGCGTATTGGTTTTCTCTTGAAAGCAATTAACCTGTGCTGATACCTACGTCAGATTGCCAGGCTGTATAATATAAGTGTGGGAAAACATAACCAGGACCTCCAATTCCATTCTTATGCTAATTTTAACTTTAGATGTGTTCTCTGTTTCAGAGCCTTCAGACAAGCAAAAAAATATTTTAGAAAAGGAAAAAATCTGAAAAGGTCATTCCACATTCTTCATCCAAAAGGCAAATCTTGCGTGTTCAAAATGGAATTAGAATTCAAATTTGGGTACAAGCGCTGGATTGTGAATAGTTGTGATTTTTCTATTTGTTTTCAGTGTACCTGGAACTTCAGTTGAGAATGTCTACTTCAATACTTCAGTTTCTACTACTAGATGCAGTAGCAAAATACTGTATCAAAATATTATTTTTTGTTTTAAATTACATCTGAACTTGTGACCGATCAAATTACAGTTGTAGTGCAGTTAGATTACCCAGTTTTATTAGTAGCACATTTTTCATTCATCTTTGTTTATGGTGATTCTGCATAAGTGTCCTTATCCATTATATTATCTAATTAAACACTAATGTATTGTGAATATTTTCCCATATGGTTCATGTTTGTTTCCTTCTGTAATTTACCCTCTGTTTCTGATTTAGTTCTACTCCTGAGCCCTCTTGCTGTTTGTTGTCTCACAGTTTTGTACGATTGCTCATTTGGCTCTCGTTTGGAGTTATTCTCTTTGTTGTGATATCTGTACAGCTGGCTCACCCAGCTCTTTAAATCCCAACTTAAAATTTATTTCTTAATTATTTCATTGCATATTCTTATTTATGTTTGGGGTTTTTAATTGCTGGAGCACCTTCTAATGTAAGAAGTTACTAATTTGTTCTCTCTCATTTGTCTTTTGTTTTTTTTCTCACTGCAAAGCGCATAATACTTCTGCATGAAATGTTTGTTAATGTATAAAGGAAAGCTGTAGTTTTGAAGCCTGCAGTGTGTATTCTGAATGTGCAGAATTCACGTAAAGAAAACCAGAAAAAAAAGAATATGAGTCTACTAAAACAAACAAATACATACAATTAAAAGTCTAGTTTTGTTTAAGAGACCTCAACAAATCATACAGTCAGTGCCATAAGGTGAAACACAGATAATGTAATGTCTGTTTTCTGAGATGTGAACTGAAACTTTGGAGTACTCAGCATAGTTGGTCTGATTCTTCTATTTGGCAAGGTAAGGGTCTGCCGTAAATACAAACATATGCTATTAAAATGGACAATAGTATGTTTGAAATTCAGATGCACAGACCAAATTTGTTGGCACTATAGAGCTGTGTAAAATCTAGTGTAATTGTATCTGAGTTTAGTTTACTGGAGCAGGGAACAGCACTTCAGTGCAAGAACAATCGTGTTGATAAAGAATTGGAAAGGGATTTTGATTCTTGTGTAAGGTTATGCATATCAGGAATTTTTTGTTGCAAGATCAAACAAGGAAAGCCTAGTTTGGATCCATCCAAACAATAAACTTTTATTTTTTCCCTTGTGGAAATAAAAGCCTGAAAAGATTTTATGTGGGATCAAATAGAAAATGTATTTTTTACTCAAGTATTAAAAGTTTGGATTAGAGCAATTGTTAAAAGCAGAGCAGGTGGTCCAGGGGTTTCCATGAACCAAATGATTTGAAAATT